TTGTTATTATTATTATTATTATTGTTATTGTTATTATTAATTATTATTATCATCATCATCATCATCATCATCATTATTATTATTATTGATTGTTATTATTAATTATTATTTTATTGTCAGTTTTGCGATAATATATATGTCATTACCTGTACTTCTATTCAAATACATTTGTTGTTAAAATTTTACGTTACTATATATACACATATATATATATATATATATATCAGGTATCGTTTGCAGCAGAACTTGTGAATAAATCAATTATTGTTTAATGCTAACTAAAATGTTATGATTATATGTATGTTAGCTTAATGACAGATTTGTTTTGATGGCTTAGGTTTGGTTGATCAGATGATATGATCATGTGATAACTACGTAATTAAAATTCTAACTCTTCAATGGTTATTAAGATATAATGATGTCACAATTGTTTCGGCCATATGTTTAATGATGAAAAGATGATATAATAATATAAAAAGCGGGTGGATGATTTCAAAATTTCATTATACTTATAATTAATATCTTTTTTTCTTTCTCTTCTTCTCTTTCTCTTTCTTTTCACACCTTCCCTTTTGCATCATCTAATTCAAACAGAAAAGTTTTGTCCCTTTCATATTATGCCACCATCACTACCACCACCCACAGTCATAAATAATATTCAGTTGTTGGGATAGTTCAATCGATCATCAGATAGATAACTGCATCTTCGTCGTCATGAAATTAGTTCATGTAGTTATTTCCATGTTCAATTGATCTCTGATCTGATTCCTTTTTTATTTGATTATTTCTCTTTTCTTTTTTTCTTTTACTACCAATTTATTTTTCATTCTATTTCTTACTTTTTTTTTCACTCTTTTCACTGTTATATTTCTATATTCTATTATGGCTTTTACTGTTATATTTCTATATTCTATTATAGCATAATGATGAATGATAACATGCAATGTTCACTCCTATCTCATACTATCTTCATTATATCATACCTAAAATTGTTCAGGCCTAAATAATTCAAACCTGAATGATGATTCAAGTCTGATTGAAATCTAAACTGCGATCGTAGTATCGCTATTACGTTAATCAATCTTTCTTTTTTAAATTTCTTATATTTATATCGAGTAATTTATAGTTTATAGTTATATTTATAGTAATTTATAGTTATTTATATCGAATAATTTATAGTTGTAGGAATAAAAAAAAATTGCAACAAATGAATAGATAATTAATAAATGAATAAATTACTATTTTTAATTAATTTTCGAAATTTAAATGAATCAAAAAGAAAAACAAAACATAATAGCTATTATGATTATTAATCATTTCATTTCTTTTCTTTAGCATTAAATTTCAATCAGAGATAGATGATAGAGCCAGATGATGGAAAAATGTAGAAAGAAATAGATGGACGGAAATGCATAACGAATGAAATATTTGGAATTGCATAACGGATATGCAATTTATAAACATTATGGATGAATGAATAAATATCCTTCGAAATAATTTTCCATTATTGTGCGATCAATAATTTCTAATTTTTATCTTTCCACTCTTAAACAATAATTTAATCATTTATCTAATTTATAATATTAACCCTTCCCAAAACATTTATCAATTCTAATCACTAAAACCTTTTATTTAATTTGTAACTGAAACTAACTTATCAAAATGTATAATTTATCAAATCTAATTACCAAAACATTGATTTAATTTATAACTGAACTAAATTATAATTTAATCTTTTACCTAATTTATAATTTAGTCTTTTTTTTATCAAACCTAATTTAACTTTTTTTTTTTTGAAATATAATTTATCATAAAATCATTTTATTAACTGATAAAAAGTTATTTAGTTCATTGAAGATAAAATTTAATGATATTTTGGATGTTTAATAAATAACTCGATATGCCCTTGCATTTAACTCAAATCACAAATCTGTACACATTCCACATTCTATCATATCGCATTCAATTAAAATGAAAAGATTAAACTTGGCGTATCGCTCCGCTGAAGAATGTATCCATCTATCCGTATTCACAATCTTTTCAATTCATTCCTATATTCATAATATATATATATATAACATATCACCACACCATATATATATATATATATATATATTTTGAGGAAGAAAAAATATATATATATATATATAGTATGGTGGTATATTTCATATAAATTTTATTTATAGAAAAATTTATTCCAATTAAATATCATTTTTATTTTCTTCCTCAAAATTGTAGTATTTTTTTTTGTCTATTAATTAGTTAATCAATTAATCAACTGTTTATTCTATTTGAAGTTGAAAAGTTGAAAAATTGAAGTTGAAATTTTATGAATTAAATTATAAGAAATTATGAATATAATAAATAAATTAAAAAGGTTGAAACTAATTAATAGTTGACATTAATTAATCGCATAGATTAATTCTTTCAAATGAAACAATAAGAAAGTTAACATTTAATATCTTATATATATATATATACAAAAGGCAAAATGATGGTTAAGTTTTTGTTTGTTTGTTTTTTGATCCTATAATAATTCAAATGGAGCTGCTAATTTTTCCATACTAATTTATCGTTTATTCATCTTCTCAACAATGAAATCATATCATAAAATATTTTCATAAATATTTCATTAATTAATAAATTTTCAATTTTAATTATTCATTTAAATTACAATTAACGAATACATTATATGTTTATTTATATGATAAAACAATAGAACTAGTAGAATGAATGTGTAAATTTAATTTTTCTTCTATTCTCTTATCATATTATAGTATTAATGATAATATTTGAATGAATGAATTGAATTTGTTTACATAATATCATACCATATATGTTAATTAGCAAACCATATATGTTAATTAGCAAAATCCTTACTATATCCTTACCATATATGTTAATTAGCAAAATTTAAAAAATCTACTCATTCGTTTATTTTTCTTTTGTTACCTTAATATTATCAATCACCTTACCGTTAATTAGGAAAATTTAAAAATTTAAAATACTTCATCATCAATTACTGTACCAAAATATCATTAATCATCTTACCAAGTACGTTAATTAATATCATCAATTACCTTACCAAATATGTTAATTAGCAAAATTTAAAAATTAAAAATACTTCATAGCTAATTGTGAAATAAGAAGAATTATTTACTCATTCATTATCGTTTTTTTGTTACCTTACCAAATTATCAATTACCTTACCAAATTATCAATTACCTTACCAAATATGTTAATTAGCAAAATTTAAAAATTAAAAATACTTCATAGCTAATTGTGAAATAAGAAGAATTATTTACTCATTCATTATCGTTTTTTTGTTACCTTACCAAATTATCAATTACCTTACCAAATTATCAATTACCTTACCAAATATGTTAATTAGCAAAATTTAAAAATTAAAAATACTTCATAGCTAATTGTGAAATAAGAAGAATTATTTACTCATTCATTATCGTTTTTTTGTTACCTTACCAAATTATCAATTACCTTACCAAATATGTTAATTAGCAAAATTCAAAAATTAAAAATACTTTATAGCTAATTGTGAAATAAGAGGAATTATTCACTCATTCATTTATTTCTTCCCATTTCAAAATTATTCAATCATTTATAATTATTATTTCAATTTTTCATTTTATAATTATTTCTTAAAGAAAAAAATAAAAGGGAAAATGACCTGAAATAGGACGAAAAATAGAAAGTTCCAATGAAAATTAATGACAATAAAAGAATTTTGATATTTGTATTTTTCTTTCAGTTAATTGATTTATTATTATTACTTTCTTCTTTAAATTTCTTTTTCAACTTTACATCTTTTAATGGTTTTAATACCTATTTCTTCTTTTCTTTTTTTCTTGCACTAATTAATTTTAAGACAAAAAAAAAGGTATAATTACTTTTTTTTTAAATACAAAATTAGATCGTGAATTCATTCCATTGAATAAATAATAATTTATCATTTAACTTATATAGTAAAGAAAATAGTTTCATATAGTAAATTTCATATAGTAAAGAAAATAGCTTATATAGTAAAATAAATAAATCATCATGTAGTAAATGAAGTAGCTTACTTTTTTCTAAAACATAAAATTAAGTTATTGAATTCATTTCATTGAATAAACAAGAATTTGTCATTTAACTTATTTCATATAGTAAAGGAAATAATTTTTCATATAGTAAAGGAAGTAATTTATATAGTAAGGAAAATAATTCTTCATTTTGTAAAGGAAATAGCTTACTTTGTTCTTAAATATAAAATTAAGTTATTGAATTTATTTCATTGAATAAACAATAATTTGTCATTTAACTTATTTCATATAGTAAAGGAAGTAATTTATATAGTAAAGGAAATAAATAATTTATTGAAAAATAATAGTATTATTATCATCCATAAATAATCTATTATGATAAAAAAATGATAATTTCATAATTATTATTGATAGAAAAAAAAAAGAGATTAAAGAATGGAAAAAGTTTTTTATTAATTAAAAAAAAAAAATTTCATTACCTGTTCTATTTTTTTGTTTTTGAAATTCACCTGTTTTCATCGTTATTGATTTATTTGTAAGTTAGAAATAAACATATGCTTATTTCCTTTTTTTTTGCAAATATGTAATAATATATTTTGATGTATATAAATTAATTATTACTACTAGTATAATATGTATTATTTCAGTATCATATAACAAATTATTTATATGATGTATTGGACGATAACGATTGATGGTGGTCCAAAACGTGTAAATCATGCAGCTGTAGCATTAAATGATCGAATTTATTCATTTGGAGGTTATTGTTCTGGTGAACTATATGATGGTAATCAACCAGTTGATGTACATGTTTTAGATACCAGTTCGTTTTCATTTTTTTGATATATTTATTTATATATTTGTTATAGTTATTATCACGGTTATTATCATATATTTATCATAGTTATCATATTTTTTGATATATTATCATAATTGATTGATATTTTCACATATTTTATACTTTAAAAATATTTTATAATTTATGTAGAAGATATAAATTAAATGATGAAATTGTAACAATTAACGCAGTAAATTTAGATCTTAAAGGTATCACATAGATATTAGATGATAAATTTTAGGAATTCATTAAGCTTGTTAATATATTAATGAATTATTGAAATGAATTTAAAACAAAGAAAAATTTCCCGTAACCCTTTGCACATTCGTCTTTCATGTTTGCTGAGCAATAACGTTTCACTCTATTGATCTATTTATTGACGATTAAAAAGTTGACCTATAATGTTTATTTGACCTTAATTTAATTGATCTACATAGCTGATTTAATTGATTTACTTATTGCCGATTAAAAAGTTGACCTATGATATTCACTTATTGCCAATTAAAAAGCTGACCTGTAGTATTTACTTATTGTCGATTAAAGAGATGACCTATGGTATTTACTTGACCTAAGGGAATGATACTTATTATTTAGCTTGAGGCTATTGTTTAATATATAATATTTACTTAACTACAACATTTGTCTCATTTATTCACATATTTCTCTTATTTAATATTTCGAGCAAAAAAAAGCAAAAAATAAATCAATTCAGAAAATTACCGCTGGCATAAACTATTGGTACCAACGGATAACGAAGGTGCTTATCCGTCTATATCACAAAATAGTTGGCCATATCAACGATATGGACATACGGTTGTTGAATATGAGGGTAAGGCATATTTATGGGGTGGACGTAATGACGAATTTGGTGCATGTTCGAAAATGTATTGCTTTGATCCAGGTTATAATTTTGTTAATTAATAATTTCGAGAAAAAATCAATTCTGAGATCCAAATTGATCTTAAAATCTTTATAGGAGGTATCAATATTATATGCTATCATATTATCAACATTATCAAGTTATCAAATCCTCTGAAAAGAATAGCACTCTTGGATTTGAACAATATTTTCTATTAAAAAATCGAATTACAAGATTTGACTCTATGATATAAACTTACGATGAAAGGCTCATGTCTTTCAACTTTACTTTTGACTTCGATGATACCTGAAAAGATTAATTTCAAAATTCTGGAAGATATTAATTTTGAGGTTCTTAAGCTCTTAGCTTTTATGTTAAAGAAGAATGCATATTTGTTTTCGAGACTGTAATTTCATTTCAGAAGCGATGGTTTGGTCAGTTATTCCGTATGACGGGGAAGCACCACCAGCGCGTGATGGACATAGTGCTGTGGTCGTTGGTGATCTGATGTTCATGTTTGGTGGTTTTGAAGAAGAATCACAGAGGTATTGTTTTTTTTATTAGATATTTAAGCTGTGAGTGTCAGTGTTCATAATTCATTATCAGAACAGAACTACAAAGTATTCTTTAACTACATCTCATCAACGTATGATATAAGTTAAATTATTTTAAAGTGATAGTTATTAACGGAAGAGTGTTACCATTTTTAATGCTCTTAATTTTTGTGAAATGTTCCAGTATTTAGTGGATTGCCATTTCACCCTTGTTTTATGACTTGAAAATTTTCCATAAAAGTTTGTTGATTGCAGGTTTAGTCAAGAAACCTTTGCTTATAATTTTAAGCAGAGAAAGTGGTATGAAGTGAAAACAACGGTAAATTATTTGAAGTTTTTATTGCTGTGTTTTAAGATTAGCGTTGTTGATGTTGAAATGTTTGGTTTTAAAATTTTACATTTGATGATTGAGTTTGATTGTTTTACTGTCAAACTTATACGTGATAGGTGATTCAAAATTAATGAAATATGTGAATTTATTTTTGCGGCGAATTTTAAATGATAATTTTTTTTTGCATCGAAATCCAATGATTCTTTTGCATTCATTGAAATATTTATTTAGGGTGAATTGCCGCAGTGGCGGGATTTTCACACAGCTTGTGTCATTGACAAGAAAATGTACATATTTGGTGGACGTAGTGATTTGCGTGGTGCATTTCATAGCTCTCGAGATTATTATTCTGACGTGCTTAAAGTACTGAATTTGAAGACAGGTCGTTGGGAAGATCCGAAAGTGACTGGTGATTGTCCATGTGGTCGAAGAAGTCATAGTGCCTGCAAGTTTTTCTTAAACTATTTCTTAAACATCTAATATGAAGCACGAAATGACAAGCTAAGTATCATCCTAAATATTTATTGCGGACTTTGAATCCTTACCTGAATCGAAGGTACACCTCCGAATTCGTTTGCTTGTATAGTTTTCGACCTGAAAATATTTCAAATTTTGCATTGTTTTGTCAACCTGAATCGTGATGATATGTTTCAGGGGTTCACAATAATAAAATGTATATATTTGGTGGATATTTGGGCACTGAAAATCGACACTTAAACGAATTGCATGAATTTGATCCTGTAACATCATGCTGGCGCCGTTTGAAGCCATTCGGCGTAGGGCCTTCACCGAGACGACGACAGTGTGTGGTTGTTGTTGGTGAACGCGTTTTCTTATTTGGTGGTACGATGTAAGTGGTATATTTTATATCGCTACGATAACTTTAGACGTAGGAACTTCTCATGATCGTAGAAGGTGCTCTTTGAAAAAGTACCAACTAATATTTTTATTTTTATTAATATTATAGGAATAGCCGCTCTTAATTAGCGCGAGTATTTATACTTGAAGTTAAATTAAAGTTAACTTAAAACTTGGCATTCTTGATGTCTTAAAAATTACATATCCTGTCATATTTTCTGACTTTTCTTTACCTTAAATTGCCACTAAATATATGCGTGATAAAAGCTTTATTAATTTAGTTTGATGAAGGAGAAATTTAAACACAATTGGATAACTTAAAATTTGATAAAAAAAGCTTTATCTGTATTACTTAATAATGGCAAGAAAAACCTTTAATATATGATTTAAAAAAAATTAAAAAAATTTCACAACAGTTTACAGCTAGAAATAAATTTGCCTATATCTATTCGATTATATAGTACTCTTATAAATATGTAAGGTAACTGAAATGTAAACTATGAAAGTGACCTAAGTGCGTTTATGAAATTACAATCCTGTTTAATGTGGTATGCCCATTTATTTATTGCAGGCCTTCTAATTCAAAGAAAATGCATCCTGCACCTAGCGGTCTTTGCGATCTCTCCGATCTTCATGTACTTGATTATGGTTCGTTTGCTGTCATTTTCGCCATTCAATTTCGTCACCTTAATTCTTTCTTAAAACGGTGTGATAAAGACATTGTATTTGTTATATTCCGAAGACCTATTAATTTAAAGAAAACTGTGTTAATTCAGGTTTAAATTGTTTCAGCGCCAACTTTGAAAGACCTTGCTGCCAATGCTGTTACACGAAATGGATTGGACGAAAAATTTGCTGATCTAATTCCAATTGATTTGAAGTAGGCTTCGTTCCTTGTTATTCTGATAATTTATTTCTGAAGGGTAGCAAACACATTCCATCCGTAAATATCATGATTGTTATGCGTCAAAATACTTTATACTTTATGTATGATACAAGACACCGTCATTATTTGCTTGCATTTTTCATTCACACATTACTTTTCAGACACGATCTTCGAATGATGACACAGCCAAACAAAATAACTCTTGCTCGCTATGATGGTTGAACATTTATTTCTCTTTCTATCGATCCATTTTTTTGAATACTTTTATATGCTTGTGTCAAAGGAAGTTCGTGCTCTTTTCTTATTTGGAATTGAAAATAAATTGGAATTAAAATTTTTTCCTGGAATTCGAGATTGAATTGTTTCTGAAATGTTGGAATTTGAATATTAATTCAATTTTTTTTTTATTGGTGGTTGAAGATAATTTTTGGAAGATTCTCTATAAAATTAAGTGATAATTTGTTCAGCTGAGAAGAGCATCGTTCTTTCAGAGTGAGGTATCCAGAATCAGATTAGAAAACTAATCTTCTAGATTGATGTATTATTGTTTATTGAACACTTTGTTTAGTTTCATTAATCGAGCAAACTTGCACAGAATTTTTGATTGTTTCTTCATTTACATTATTATTCCTTGCATAATTGAAATTGCTGTATTCTTCTTTTCCGTTATGATTCTTGCATATTATTGAAATTGCTATAGCGTTCTCCTTTTCCATTATGATGCTTTGCATATTACTGGAATTGTTAACCTCGTATTTTCTTTTAATTTGAAACGGTTTTCTTTGTGGTTGTATTTTAATCATGACATTTTTCTCTTTTTATGTACAATAATGAATTTAAAGAACCCTATGGGACATAGTTGATGAATATGTAAAAGGTGTATAGACACAAAGGAGTCGGGACTTTAGAACCTTTATTTTCCTAATTCTATCAATTCAAGAAATCTTTCTTAAATTTCTTGAGTACTGCTAGTGGGAGGAAATCAATCACCTGAACTGTTCTACATGCTATCTGGATTAATATAACTTGGATAATTTGATGTAATAAAACGAATGCATGTTATTATTGGAATAGCTGCGAGGTTCCTTGTCAAATGTCTCCTTTTGTGATACATTTATGGGTTGAATACGTTGAACATTAATGTTCACCAAATGATACCCCTCTCCTTTTTTCGGAAATGTTTATAGAATCTAGATTTTGTAGAAGCTTTGCTGGTCGTATATCATTCACTTTTTCCCCTATAAGGTCATATTTTTTAAAAGTTTTATGATTCGTTTTCTTTTCTCTTTTTAGTGTTTTAAAGTAACAAGCGGGTGAAACATTTATTTGTGTGAAAGATTCGTTCGAATCATAATTCTTCATAAGCTTCATTAAGTTGTGTTAAGTTGCTATTTGATGATTCCGATAGCATCATCGATTTTTTTGTTTCTTTAAAGAGATTCAGTTACTGTGGTAGAATTTTGATGAAGTAATATGAATTCACGGATGTTTTTCATATTCTCTTAAGACATTTCTTTTTTTTTAAAAAATTTTCTTAATTAACAGAGCAATTTTACCAGGGTTAATGTCTGCATCACTTTTGATTATACTAATTATACTAAGGTTTCATTTTATGAATTCATCTTTACCGTTAGAATTACGATTTTCTTGTTTGTAGAAAATAGGAAAATTACATAACAAATATTATACACAATTTTACTGTATTCAATACATATGTTTTTCTTTTGCATACTCAAAGTGAATTTTTTACTTTTTCATCTCAAAATTCGAAGTTAACAATTTCATCTTACTCTTCAGTAATATATGATGTGACATATATTTAAATTAAAACCTTCATAAATATTTTTTTTAAGAAAATAAAAATAATTTATTAATGTTTTTGTAATATGCTTAATTTTAATTTATCAGATACTGCAATCATGATGATGATTTGGTTATTCTTAAACATTCATTATTTAATGAAATGCTTCAATAATTATAATAGTGATAGTTGTAGCATTAATTTTAATTTTTTTATTGTTTCTCAAAAAAAATATATATTCAATGATATTAATTTAAGAGCTATGCGAATTGAAGTATTATTTATTATTATTATTATTACAATTATCACTAATATTATTCGCTGTATAGAATGCATATTAAATTTAGCTTACTTATCATATTTACACGGCATATTCATATTTTGTTATCCGTTATCTTTGCAAATAAATGCTTTTATTTTAATCCATAATTTGCTTTCATTTTTCTCACTGTATTCACTGAAAAGATCGTAGTGTATTTGATTATCTTACTACTAATATGCATAAATTCAAAAGAATAATTTAAAATTGTTAGTATTATTTTTTTAGGGAAGCAATAAATTATTTATCAATAAAATTAATCCTAAATTTTTAATTATTAATTTTTTTCTTTCCTTTTTTTTTTACATTGTTTTTGAAAACATAAGAATTTATGATAATTTCCAAATTATAATATTATTATCTCTTTTTTTTGGGATTACAATTAACGAACTTTTCGAAGTTTTCATTATTTTTCTCCTTTTTAGTTTTTATGAAATTATTGGGTTTAATGAGTTATGGACAGTGAAGAGAATATGTTATGTAAATCGTATCATCTAGTTATTTATATATATTTATTTATATATATATATCATCTGCTTATTTATATATATATATATTATTATCATTATCATTATCATTAATATTATATATGTATATATCTTGTCTCATCTAGTTATTTATATATATAAATATCATCTAGTTATATATATATAATTATCATTAATATTATTTATATATATCTTGTCTTTTAAATATATTTACAATAATAATAAAAAAGCTGTGATTTTGTTTGGTTGAATTTTTCAAAGTTATATTTTGAGAAAAACAAAATGGCTGTTTGTTTTGTTTGTTTCTTTCTTTTTGCTTAATATTATTTAGGTGAGTTTTGAAAGTTAATATAAATTCAGGAGGAGAGGAAATTTCTAGAAGATAATTCGAATGATCTTTTTCTTTTGAGAGAGAGAGAGAGAGAGCTTTTGATAATAAACACTATTAAGATTGTAATCTTTATTATTTCTTATAATTGATATATTTTACATATTTGATATAATTTACATTATCGTTATTATTCTATCTGTAATATTCATTTCATAATTGAAATGAATAAATGAATAAAATAGCTTTTAAAATTTTTTAAAAATATTATTTCAACTATATCATTGTGAGATGGTTGGCGTGTTATTGGTTTTTTTGCTAGCTTTAAGTGTTATCGGCTTTTTGCTAGCTTTAACATAAGCCATAAAAGTTTTATTATCATCATATACGAATTGCGATTTTTTAGTACTTGTGTCATTTTAATTGATAATTATTACGCCTACTCCTAGTATTTAAGCGTACGTGAAACGTGAAGGGAATTTTGTTATATTTTATATACTATTAAATACAATTTTGCAATCATTAAAAAATTATAAAAAGTGACATTACCTTTCTTGATTAGCTGATATCGAATAGGCTTATTGACAGTTGAAAGGATATTAATAGATGAATTTCATTTTTATTAATAAATAAGTTAAATATAGATTTCATTTCTTATTTCAAAATTAAAAATGATACATTTAGACGTATGATATTTACATTAATATCGATTCAATTATTACCTTACAAATTAACTTACAATAAAATTATGGAAATTTTAAGCGGAATAATTTTTTTATAAGATAGAAGAGAAATGTGGTAATAATCATTTCAATCCTTTCTTTTTGTGTCGTTCTATTATACGAATGAATGGAATGAAAGTATTGATGGTTATGGAATAATATAGGCTGGAAACAATTAAATTATAATAAGAAAAAAATGGATTAGCTTAGATTTCGAATTATCATTTGGATTCGTTTTAATATAGGTATAAAATTATTAAGTTATTCGTCGATCATTATAGAGATGATGATTATGGAATAAATATAATATATATTAGATGAAGAAAAATTTTAGCTTTTTGTTTCTAAAATTGAAATTTTTTGAAAATCAATTGCTTAAAATTGTTTGTTATTGATAAAGTTGTTAAATTGATAAAGTTGATAAAGTTATTCTGCATTACTTAATTTTGCTTATTGAAAATTTCTGCAGTCAGATAAGATGTAATCTTTCTCTTTTTATCACCATTTTGATGAAGAAGTTTCTTGGAAGATTTCTAGAGAAGTAGAATCTCAGATGAATCCTATTATGTTGATCTGTATTCATCTTATTAATAAATCTCGAGTTAGGTGGAGAATTAGTGGTCGAAGTTATTAGATGTTCGTGATATTTGACAGCTGCCGATATCACTAAATCTGTGATGTTTCATAATTAATTTCATAATTAGCAATATTGTCATTCAATGATTGATCTTTTGGTATTTAATTATTCCCTGCATATCGATTGCGTTTAATAATAGTATCATATATTTCATTATATATTTATGTGAGTCGCAGTAATTATGATTTTACAAATATCCGAAATTCGTTCAATCATTTTTCAGGATGTGATAGCTTATAGTTAAGTGATGAGTATTTTGTTATATTTATCACTGGCAACAGTGATCTCATCATCCTATGTTGGACTTCTTTATGTTTTTGATTTCTATGGTGTTGATCGAGATGATCCACAAAGTATCAAAAGACGTTTGCTCGGTGCTACAGTAAATAATATTATTAGTATTGCATGCACATATGCTGTATTATGCAAAGTATGTAGCATTAATTTCATTTATCTCTTATCAATCGATTAATTCATTAATTATCTTTTATTGATTTAAAAGAATAATTAAACATTTTGATGCAAAAAGATTCGTTCAGTTTAGTTTTTCCATTGATATATAACGAATTTGATGCAATAAAAATTTTCTCATATAATTTATTAAATTTTCATTTTATTTGACCCGAAATGATATCAACAAGTTAAGATATCTGATCTTAATTCATTATGAATAACTGCGAATAAAGTAAAGGTTGGCAAAAATGGAAGTTTAATATAATTAAGTTAACGCCAAACCTTTTTATGAAGGAAATAATCATTGTTAGTATATGAATAAAAGTATATTAATAATATATTAGTGGTATATTGTTAGTGTATTAGTGATAGTGCAAACTATAATATTGATAAATGATTAATAATATCATAGTTCTCGGGAATAAAAAATGGATGAGAAGTATTTGTGCTGCAAAATTTTAGTAATAATTTTTATATGGAAAAATAAAAGCTGAAAGGAAATAAAGATGGTTAAAAAGAGATACGAATAAAATAATTACGATAATGATATCAGTGATTTAATTGATACTACTTTTCCCATATCTTTATTGTATCATTTTTACACTTAAATATTTTCTCTTCATATTCAACTGTTAATTATCATTTATTTTCTCTCATTTAGCATTATGATTCACCGTTATCAGTGATGGGAATACATTCTCGTGGTATCTATCCGGCATGTCTATTACCAACGTTATTAATGTGTATTTGCTATTTGGGTAATTGGGTCATGATGTACATTGATAATAACTTCTGGTCTCTCTTTCGTTAGTATTTTTATTTTTTTATTTTTAAAAAATATTTTTTACCAAAATCGGTGGAAAAAAATTAAAGCGAAAATAATACGAATAATATCCGATCAAATTTCTTATTGATAAATAATGTTAGCAACAAAATTAAAATATTTCCGATTTTAATTTATCTATCATTTAAAGCTAAAAATAATTCGAATTGACATTCTAATTTTTATCGTCATGCTATATTACTTGTAGTGAAGAATATCGTAATACATAAATCGTGGTTGTGATACATAAATCGGGATTGTGATACATGTAGTGCAGGTTGAACTTAGTGAGAATAATTTGAATTGACATTTTAATTTTTATCGTCATGCTATATTACTTGTAGTGAAGAATTTCGTAATATATAAATCGGGATTGTGATACATGTATTATAGGTTGAACTTAGTGAGAATAGTTCAAATTGACATTTTAATTTTTATCTTCATCCTATATTACTCGCAGTGAAGAATATCGTAGTACATAAATCGAGATTGTGATACATGTAGTATAGGTTGAACTTAATGAGCACTCACTCGATTTAATTAAAATTTTAATAATCTATGAACGTTATTCGATAAAAACAAAGTTTTTCTTTCTTTTAGATTTGGATGAATTAAAGCGAAATGCTGGAAATATCATATGGATTCGAGATGTTTTATTGGTAAATTTGGAAAAGAATTTTTGTTATTCAATTCAATTTCTATAAACTTAATTATTTATTTTTATTTTCACTTTTTTTTTTTTGAAATAATTAAATTATTCAAATATTTCGTTTCATTTTATTTCTTTTGTTTAGGCACCGGTTACCGAAGAATTAGCATTTCGTGCTTGCGCATCAACATTAATGTTGCAATGTTTATCATCAACTGTAACAATATTTGTTGCACCATTACCATTTGCACTTAGTCATCTTCATCATATTTTTGATGATATGAAGAAAGGTTATACCAAATATGAGGCAATAAGTCGAAGAGGTTTCTTGAATTTCTTGATAAAAAAATGAAGCTAAATGATCTCTAGCAGGAATATGCATAATAACTTTTTCATTCGTAATATTACATATTTTAATTTCGAGAATTTTAATACAAAATTTTATTTCAAATATAATTTTGCTATCATTATTAGATGATATATTAAGTTGAAGACTGATCAATCGGATAATCAGTTGGGCAGTTTTGATAACCTTTTTTTTCATTTATTCACTTATCAAGTAAAAATTTTTTTTAATGAATTAGATATGGTTAATACAGGTATTAATACCTGTTGAGCTATTAAAAACCTTTGTGTGCTTTAAAAAGTATAATATTGAAAATAGTCGCTGCTTATGTTATTAAGAAAGTTTAAATTTTTCATGATATATAAAAGCTCTCAATTACGGTACAATTTAATTTTCCCTTCCAAATGTTTTCATCTTTTCTTCTCATCCATTTCATTTTTATTTTCAGCATTTCAAACATCCTATTCGTATTTTTTTGGTGCATATGCAACGTTTCTTTTCGTTCGCACAGGTATCTTTCATTCTCATCTTTCGAATAAAAACTATCAAATTTTAGAAGAAGTATTTTGTTTCTAACTTGAATTGTATTAGATAGATACTTTCCAATCAAATTGAACAAATGAATTGGAACTTTGCCATGTGAACTTAAATCTGTGAACTTATCTCCGTTTTCTTACCTTTAAACTTAAATTGAAACTATGTATCATAGTTAAATTTTAATGAAGAGGGAACATTCTCTCTTCATTATAAGTTTTACTTATTTTGAATGTTGAAGGACTCTTTCAGAAGCTTATCCCTCTTTTTTCTTTAGTTATGAAAATAAAATTTTGACATGCTTATTTTTTTTATGGTACTAACAGTAAACAAGGAACGAATTTTAGGTCATATATTGGCACCGATTGTAAGCCATTCAGTTTGTAACAATATGGGTTTACCGCTTCTATCACTTATTGAAGCGTATCCGAAACGTTCAACACGTGCTCTTCTTTGGTTCTCTTATCTTCTCGGTTTTATATTATGGTTGTGGCTATTGAAACCTCTCACTGATTCAAAATTTTATAAATGAGCAGGAAAGAAAATAGCTATCTTATTTTGAGGTGCTTCTTCTGGTCTCATTTGATCAAATTTATTACAACTCTAAGAAGTAGAGTTGTAATAAATTTGATAAATATTTTTTGGAATTAATTTCTCTGTGATTATTCGATAAAAGAATTTATCAATTTATCACTTATCAGTTTTTAAATTTAGTTACCATTTTTTAATGNTATTACAACTCTAAGAAGTAGAGTTGTAATAAATTTGATAAATATTTTTTGGAATTAATTTCTCTGTGATTATTCGATAAAAGAATTTATCAATTTATCACTTATCAGTTTTTAAATTTAGTTACCATTTTTTAATGACTTTAAAATCTGACCAAATTATAGATTAGATAAATTAGAATTGTATTATTTAGTATAACAGAAAAAAAGTTGCCTACAGCAGTATCTGAAAATTTTGAAGCATTTTTTTATAGATAATAATTGATGATCGCATGTGTAGTGGACTTTTGTTTATGAGATTCTTTTTGAGCGATGGCTTTGTGAACACGGTCAAATTGTAGTGAAGATTTAATATCCGATGGAAAGTTTTATTTCTTTTGTTATAATACAATCATCGTTATGATCAATAGTAGTATCCTGAAAAAAAAAGATTTTGATTAGAGTACTCTTCTTGATTTAATCATTGAAGTACTTCGTAGTCATTACTATATAATGATGACTTCTCTGGTATTAGTTTTTAAATTTAAGATACCTTGTGGATCGTCGATCATTTCGGCGTATTTCATTTCCTCATCTTTCTTTGATGATGCGATTACCGTTTTCTGCATGAGATCCAATCACTTTTGAATGACTTTTTCGAACATACCGACATAATATTCAAGGCGTCCAACCTTCTCTTTAATAATCCGAATTTGATTTCTTATCGTTGTTTAGGTTCTTATCGTAGAAATATTCGATTGGTTTGGTTCCATCGAGTTCGTTTACTTTACTGAGATGTTTTCGGATCTTTGATTTTGTTATTTGGCTTCTTTGGTCAAACTTTTTGACAAATCTCACCTTGAGCACCAAAATCTCATTCACTGAGGGAAAAGTTATAGTTGATCGATGTTATTCAACAATGTCAGAAATATTGAGGGAGCAGTTTTGCAGGAGGGGTAATTGCGAGCTGCACTCTCGTGCTCTTCTTGAGGTCGTATTTTAGTCTGTTGAGACCGAAAAGAAAAAGCCTCCTAGCAAGGACTGTTGAAATATGTAATGAGTTTGAGTGGGTGTTATTTAATTGTCTAGGCTACTAAATTTAGTAATATAGGGAAGGATTAAATATCATGGTTTATATTTGATGAATGAATTAGATAATTGAAAATGACAAATATAAGCAATATGATTGAAATTAGTTACCTATAACGGAACAAAGTATTGGCAAGGTCAAATGTTAGAAGTGTTAAGTTGATAAATATAGCGGCTAGTGAAACCCAATAAAATGATTTACTACGTTGGAGGATGAAAGGATAGATTGCAAAGCAAAGATCGTACAATTATAGGTAATTTTACGATTATAAGTGATGAATCATTTCAAGGATTTCTATATTATTAGGCCAAATTTCCGCTTTTCCGACATTTCCGATTGAAGGATTTGAATACTTCGGGAAGAGGGAAGTAAGATTAGGACTATAACGAAAAGGATTTTGTTTTATAATTGCATGTTGGTAGCAGGGATTTCCTGTTCATCCCCTTTCAAAAAGGGAGTTTTTCCCTTTTATAACGGAATTGCTATAATTTCTTTAATTAAAAATTTTTCCTTTTAAGGATTTAAAATAAATTAGGGATCCAATTGATTCAAATTTTAATCTGATTACTGATTAAAATCAGTATAGCGAACAGTGCAACTGTGATGGTACTAGAAGTGATCATTTTCTAATGATTTGCCATTTCATATAATTCTTTCTTGATCATTTCTGTAGCTTTACTAATTCCGGGTTCTAATTCTTCCACTAATTCTTCTGATTGTGGATTGATTTCTTCCCAGAATCGTTTCGGATTCAATGTTGTTGGAATATGATTGAACGTTTCTCGATTTTGTACTAATATTAGCATCTTCGCTTGAATTTATTTATTATATAGGCCTTGAATTCAAAAAGAAGTCTTTCAAACATTTCAGCTTCACAAAGAGCGACCATTAGTTTGTCATTAATTCGTTTGGTAATTACATCATTTCTTCATAGTAATAGATTACCAGCTAGGGTTGGATTGATGATTGATAGCCATTCGATTAACAGCAATAGATTGTTCTAATTTTGGCAGCTTCTTTTATATTCAATCGATGGTTAAACTCCATTTGTAAACTATCAAAAACATATTTAAATTCGACGTTTTCTGAATCAGTCGAATTTTCAAGTTTAATTCTGTTAATAAATAATGATCTCTTGGTTTGAAGTTCATTTCGTTATAAATTTCTCTTTGTTTTTTTGGCTTATTTCTTTGTCGATAATAATATCACCGTTCATCTTATGTGGATTGAGAATCCACAATTACTCATTATGGTTTCATTTTTAAAAAACAAGTGCGACTTTGCAATTCATTCACGATAACATGGTTTCCATATCTGCATGCATCGATAAGAGACAGTTGTTTGTCGCATTTTTCCCGTTCCAGATTATAATGCTTGAACGTGTTTACAGTAGAAGCAATAAAGTTTCCTCTTTTTGAATCACTTGTTGGATATCCTGTTCGAGGAAATTTGAAATATGCTGTGCTTTTCCTCAAACGTTCCATACGGAGTTTGGGTTTGCGATAAAATATACCATTTGCTATCTCAGTGATCTTTATTGCAAAATACGTTTGGCTTTCTAGGTTTTCAATTTCTTCTTTTAATTCTGGAACTTTCTTTGATTTAGTCGATTTGGTTAAATTGTCTGCTTTGAACGATTTGATTGTAGCTAAAGCTGAAGTTTCATTCTTAATATTATATTTGATTGGTTCTTCTGGTTGTTGCTAGTTGCTTGATTTTTAATAACTTTTTCATTTCTCAGTACTAGTTCTGTCGGATCCTATGAACCAACCGTCTTCTTTAGTCCTTCTTTATTTCGTACACTTTGTCCAATATCCACGCAGGCAGTTTATTTTCAACTGCAATTTCGACACTTGGATGCTCTTCTCACTTGTAGCTTCCAGTTGTCGAAATATTCTTTCATAGTGATTGTTTTTCAGTCACGATCACTTCTTCTCATGGAGTGTAGTTCATTGTAAAGTAACTTCTTTATAGTGAAAGATTTATCATACTTTTCGGTTAATTGATCTCTTATAACCTTGTAATTTTCTGGTGTGATATCGTGATTCCTTACAGCTAGCAATGCATTCTCTTTGAGACAAGACATCAGATAGTTTAATTTTTGAATGTCTGAGATGTTCTCCATATTTTTAGATCACCACTGAAAGTTGCTAGTGGTAATTGTGGAAGATTTATTGTTGCTTAATTGGTAGGGATTACCTTTCCTTCGAGGTTAATTATCTGATATCTTCTTGATTTAATCGTTGAAGTATTATTTCGTAGTCATTATTATGTATGTATTCAAAGTAATGATGACTTCCCTTCTATTAGTTACTAAATTTAAGATATATTAGTTATTAAATTTACTGTTGATCCGGGGGAATATTTGGACCGTCCGTTGAGGTATTGATTCAGAGGAGTGCAAATGGCAAGACCATTTCGTTCCAGAGCATCAAGTTACACTCTTTTCGAGTTGCGCAGTGCTCGATAATCATTGTTTATGGTAGATAGTCAATTGATCATTTTGTAAACGAAACCAACGGCACTAAGAGGTCGGTCATAAGGTCATTTGATGCAAAAGATTGTTCGTAGCATGAAATTGTCTGGTCATTTAACAGGATAAAAATAATGGTAAATCATTAGCGGCATTTTTTAGATTCATACATCAAGAGAATATACAAAGCTTATCATTAAGAAATAATGACAATAGCTATTGACAATAGTGTTCTTGGAATAATAATTATATGACAAGGAAATTGTAGCAAACATTGACTAAGAATTGTGATGAGAATACCTTAACTATGTAAATAATTTTGCATTATACTGTTATTTCGGATTTCCGACATTATTTTTTATAAAAATTTTCTTATTAAATAGGTACACACAACTTACCTGACGATCGAAGTTGTTGGATTGTTTTTCTTATTGCATTATAGCAATTAAGATGTGAAAAAATAGTAATATGTAAAATGTAATTTCAATAACAAAAGAACAAGATTGTGGAAAGGTAAGATGAGTACCTTCGTTTTTTCAAATATCGATCATCTTTGAAATCTCCCGTTAAAAAAAATTCTGATGTGATACATTTTCATCAGTTGAAATTAGCATAAAAACAGAAATCATTACAATCGAATATACCTTTACACCATAGAAGGATATATATAACAAACGATCATTCTCAAATCATTTGTATAGATTATTGTCAATAATTAATAGAATTGGAATATTACTAAAATTTTTCTCATCCTTGTTTTTTTCTCTATTCCTTTGAATTATCGTTTTTATTCATGTATAAAAGATTTTCATCTAACTGTCATATACAGCCACGTACGTCATGCATAAATACTATATTGTACATTGAATACTGTTTTCGGTAACGTATCAATGCGCTTAGTTTTCGGGTGGTTGAAAAAATAAAATAAATTAATAAAAGCAAAGGATGTGAATAGAAGTCTTTTCTGTATTCAATTATTGCTTCGATCTTTCAGAAACCAACGATAATACAAATCTATATATATATCTATATATATATATTGGTAAATCTATATATATATTGGTAAAATAATTGTTGTATAAGATTATCAAAAGTTGATTTATCTAAATTTCTTATCTTTAATTGAATTAGAAAATGCAATGTCATAGATAATTAACAAGGAACATCATTATAGCAAATATATAATTATCATCACCGTATGGATGAAATAATTTCAGTATCACAGAAAAGCGGAAAATTTGCAATCTTGAAAATATAAGTAATAAATAAAATTAAAAATGGGAAATTAAATTGGTACGATCGTGGAAGATATTGAAAATGCCACACTACGTGAAATCCATTTGTTGAACAGCTGAATTACTCATCACATAGCACTCGATCGAAGTGATCACATATCAGTCGAATCGTTGTGACAATGTCGATGATACAAGAAGAAACAATAACGATGGTGATGATATGGATAACTGCATTGAAGAAAGTCTGAATAAAAATAATTCCTTTTTCATTCAGTAACTGAAACGTATATGAGCAATTATCAATGCTACATTTATCAGATTGCTATTATCATCATCATTGATATCATTTCTTAATGTCAAATCTTATCACAATCATTATTCTTTTATAATTCTAACCTAAAATTGAAATTTATTACGATAGTATCATTATTACTAATTTTTTTGTTAAAATATTTAATATGAATTTCAACAGTATTGCTTGGATAAATGTTCTCTTTTTGAATGTTTTAGATTGAAAATTTTCGAAATAACTTTTCATTCTAAGAATTAAAAGAAATTGAAATGATCAATTATGAATAGCATTTTTAATTTATTAAAAATTAATTTTAAGTAAACAATCATTTTTCAACGATAAAAATGCTTTATAAATCATACGTATCGTAATTTATTTGAATTGAAAAATTTATGCAATACAATGAATGCATCATTTATCAATCATTTAGGATATAAACAAAATCGAATCATAAAAAATTAATAATATCTAAAAATAAAATTGATCCGACAGCTATGCAAATATTCCATCACAAACTATGCTTTATTTTTTGAATGATACGAATATTTAGAATATACCATTTTCCGCTTTTTAATTCTTCATCCTTTTCCTTTTTTTAAAAAACATTTCTATACTAAATGAGATTTTTATTATTGGTTAAGTGTAGTAAAGATAGCATTATGTATTAATCAATAGTAGTACATTTATAATTAATAATTACCTATTCCTTTAAATTAATTATACAAAAATAATTGCAACAAAGAGTTTGTTTATTAATTATTTGTACTGAAAGAATTTCTTTGACGATTATTATTACTATTGTTAATTTGTTTAAATCAATACATTGTTTTTATATTTACATCAAAATATTATCAAAATACTTAACAGTTAAATTAGTCAGTCTTTAACAGACAATCAGGAGATATTTCTATCTCATTGGTACCATCATTAATACACAATTAATACAATTAATACATTTAATACAATTAATACAATTAATACAATTAATCATTAATACACAATTAATACAAATTAGTGAACAGTGATAATGATCACTGTTCACTAATTTGTATTAATTTGTATTAACAGTGATAATGATCACTGTTCACTAATTTGTATTAATTTGTATTAACAGTGATAATGATCACTATTCACTAATTTGTATTAATTTGTATTAACAGTGATAATGATCACTGTTCACTAATTTGTATTAATTGTTTCTTTATTCACTTTTTCTTTTAAATGTGAAATTTTAAAGAGAAAAGTGAAAATGACAATTTCATACAATAAGGATATTGCATCCGGATCATCGTCTAATTTATTACGCTTAATATTTCGTTGGAAAGGTAGCATTTGGAAATTATGCATCAAAGAACTTTGCATTTGGACAATAATTTTTCTGATTATAACATTTATCTATCGTTCGTCCTATTTTTTAACTAACAATCAAAAAATGTTAGTTAATTAATTTTTTAAATTTTTCATTGTATTTCTACCGAATAATTATTTTTTGTTGAATAGCTAAATTATTTTGCTTATCAATTTTTTATTCGTTCGAAATTTTAATATCATTTAATGGATGAAAGTAGTCTATTAACTAATTGACTAATTTAGCTAGGAGATTTTACGGCTGAAATTTAGGGAAGGTATTTAAATCATTAAGAATTTTTATTTAAATTGCTAAAAGAAAGCTGATGAACGACTGAATTATTTTAGCTTTTATATTAAGTAATCAATAATTAATTAATTACCTCTATGAGTACATTCTTAAAACAATAATCGATTAATGGGATGAAATATTATTTAGAATATTTGAAAAGCTCATAAATCATTTCAATACTCGTCTTAATTTTATTCCATTAACATTTATGCTTGGCTTCTTTGTGCAAACTGTTGTAAAGCGTTGGTCAGTACTGTTTGAAAATATGGGTTACATCGAAAGGTTATTCCTAATTTAGCTATTCATTTATTTTCTTACTTTTTAATAGCTGGAATTTATATTAGTAATTTATATATATATATATAAGTATAAAATTAAGTATAAAATTATTTTAATAGTTAATGTTAAAGCAATTTTCTATGTAGTTGTTATCAGATATAATTTGTTTTAATATATTTTAGGAAAATTCACAATTATAATTAAGTCGTTTGGTATAAATACATAAATAGTTGTTAATTAGATAAGATTTAATTAATAATGTAATTAGTAAATTATTAGGATTTCAAGAATTGTTTTATTTTTTGAATGCTATGAAAAATTTTTTAATATGCAATAATTTGTAGAAAATATCCTTTTTTTTCAACTCAAAATTTTACCTGTAAAATATTAAATTTATTATCTATTTTTATGTATAAAATTATTTTAGTAAAATAATGAAATCAAAACAATACGTTCATTAATTTCATCCATAATTTAAATTATAATATTTATATCTTTCTCTAAAAAGAAAGGTAGTAGTGAATAAATTTAGTGCAGCGTTGTATATCGGTGGATATGTATACGGTAAAGATGACGAATCACGTTTATTACGTCGAACTATGGCACGTTATTTATGTTTAACACAATTACTCATCTATCGAGATATTAGTATACGTGTGCGAAAACGTTTCCCAACTTATGATAGTATCATTAAAGCAGGTTACAACAATCTAGTTCTTGTTATTATTATCATTAAAATAATGAAATCAAAACAATAGGCAAAAATTGTCTTATCTTAAAAAATATTTAATTTGCTTTTTAAAGGATTTATATTAGAAAATGAATGTGAAATATTGGAATCAATTCAATTAGATTATGATAAATATTGGGTACCTATTAATTGGATTTATGCGCTTATTTTTCGTGGGCGCAAAAGTGGTAAAATTGTAAGCGATACATTCGCCAATAAACTTTGTGATGTTTGTCTTTACTAAATTAACTTTAAAAGTTTGTTGTTAAGGTTTAATTATATTGAAAGAAGGAAATTTGATAAATAGCATAATCAATTATCAAAAGTATTATCAGAAATTATTCTGGTTGACATAATGAATTATCAAAAGTATTATTAGTAATTATTTTGAACTAAAATGTTTGAATTAATTCGATTTAAGGAAATAAAAAATTTTCGATACCATCTTCAAGTATTGTGCAACTATGATTGGATTCCAATACCATTAGCATATCCACAGGTTTGATTTGAATTCAGTAAAGTTTTATAATTATATAAGTTATATAATTTTTACGTATTAAATTTCATTGATATAATTTTCATTAGTTACATCCATAAATTAATTTCATATTTTTGATTTTGATAATTTTAGTAATTATGCAAAATATTGCAGCTGGTATTTTTAGCTGTTTACGTTTACTTTGCTGTATGCTTAATTTCGCAACAATTTATAATTACAGACCGAGATATACCAAATAAAAGTAACGTATGTTTTTTTTTTTTTGTAAGTTGTATTTAGTTATTACTTTTTTGAAATTATTCATTTCATTATGATATTAATTATTAATCATTTTTAATATCATTAATTCTTTTTGTTTTTTTTTTTCAAAATAGTTTTTTATTAGATTGATCTAATACTGCCATGTATTACAATGATGGAATTTATAATATTTGTTGGTTGGATGAAAGTAGCTGAAGGTCTTTTAAATCCATTTGGTGAAGATGATGATGATTTCGAGAGCAATTTTTTACTTGAGAAAAATTTAACAGTTTGTTTTTAATTTTTACTCTTCCTGCAAAAAAAATGCAACAATCTTTTTTCAATTCACTTTTTTCTTGTTGAAGAATTTTTAAATTATTTAAATATTTGATTTTACGGTATTTGTTCCATTTATAGGTATCATTATGTATGGTTGATAATGCATCAAATGATGCGCCAAAATTAGAAAAAGATCAATTTTGGCCAAATAATAAAGCAAATATAATTTATGCTAAAAAATTCACCGATGATATGATCAAGCAATCTGTTGGCTACGCTACATTATCATTATAAGAAAAGCTATCAGTTGTATATATATACCACAGATATATATATATCAGTTGAATAAAGAGGATATCTCTTGAATTTTCAATATATTTGTAAAAATTTTAAATTAAAATTTGGGTTTGGTTAGATTAAAAATAAAAAATTATTTCATTATTTGATTTATTACGGAGTTATTTCATGAATTTTTATTGATTAGAATATGTAATAAATTAATAACTCACGTGTATTATACATCACAGAAATTAATAAAATATATACATCACAGAAATTAATAAAATTGCTATGACTTTTAGGACCATGAAGAATGAATAATATAAATAAACGACAAAGAAAAATATTAAAAACTTTGAAAGTTTTAAATAATTGCAAGCCATTTTTTCTCGGGAACACTTCGGGATAACTAAGAGATCGACAACACTATTTTACGGAATTACTAGAGAAACTATGACTAACAAAATTCTAAAAATTGTCTATCTGATTAAATCGATAATTATCAAGATAATAGAAATGAAACAAATAAAGTAGAAATGGCCAATAAAAACGGCAATTTTATCGATCTGACCGATGGACGATGTGCAAACCACTGGTTGTTAGAACTGCTAACATATCATTCCTGAGAAAAATCATTGATATCACCGACACATGCATTTCGATAATTGAGCAAGGAGCTGCGTAATGATCATCAGATAAGAGATCTGTTCGTTTGTATAGCAAAATGACCTAAACTGATATTAGTAATCAATAAAATAGTTTGGAATTGAAAATGGTAACCATAAAAAAAATCAAAAATGCAATCAATTTTAAATATATGGGAGGAAGTGAGTCATAGAGATAGATAGCGGACCATCGTAGCATTCATCAAAATTACGCACAATTAGAGGAAGTGAAACCACAAAGATTATTTTGATCTCTACGTGACTTTCTAAGAGATTAACTCAACCGCTTAAAATTACAAAACAAAACTTACACCACCATATGCTCCAATAGCAATCAATTCATCACTGGATGCAGAGCATACAATGGCATCATGGCCACGCGTATCTTCCAATACCTTTATCCTTTTCCATTCAAAATGACTTTTATCCGGAGATAGAGATAGCATCCACACAGCTGCTGGCCCTAATGTTGAAGATACTAGTATCGAAATCTTATCCTCTCGTCCAACGTGTTGTAAAATTAATAGAACTGATATGGCACCAGAAAATTTCAATTTACTTCTGGAAATCATCACACAAAATAAAGGAAAGTTAAATCAATCTTGTGATCACAAATTAGTAGGAAAAAGTAAATAGTTAAATCAATCTTGTGGTCACAAATTAGTAGTAGGAAAAAGTAAAGTGTGATCATAAATTAGTAGGAAAAAGTAAATAGTAAGATTATTTAAATCAGTGTAAATAATGAATACCTGTCCTCTATAAAATTTGTTCCCATGGATAAAGCTGTTACAATCACATAACCTGTATCAAAACCAAGTGCAGACCATCGATATGTCGATGTTTGAAGACAATTTGATCTGTAAATGATGAGGATCTCAAATTCTAATACATCATTCTCGATATCATTTTTTACAGTTGCTATTATCACTAGTTGTTACAAATAATAGTATTTATCATTAAAAGTTATCATTAAAAACTCGAAAATAAATAGCCACCTGATAGCAGAACCTGGTAGATCGCCCAAATCAAGTCCTGGATAGATATCACCAACAGAATCAACCTCTTCAACTGACAGTGTTACGGGCTGAAATCCCAATTTTCATCAAATAAAATTCACAAAATTAAGAATAGTCTTTGAGAAGTCGCATAAGCAAAAACTTATTAATTGAAACCTGGACAACAAATAAACGAACAGCACGTGAAGCGGTAAATATGAGCCAACAATGGCCATTATTGGCAACAGCTGCCTCAGCCGTTATTCTAGTGTAAGAGGGCACATTATCAAGTTCTAGCTTATAGCCTGAAAAGCAAAAAAATATTTAAAAAGCAGAGCCCTTTGCTTATAGGACGATTTACTGAAGCACTGCATTTTAACATATTTCAAGTAGTAAAAAACAAAAACTATGGAAAGCGAGAAACACGTTAAAAAGAAGTTAATCTTCTAAATTATTCGATTTGGATTTAAGTCCGAAAATAATAAATAAAAAAGGTATGAATTCATAAGATTTTTCAATTCAAAAACCAAATCATAAAATATTCGAAACCAGATCAGAAAAAAATAATTCGTAATTGATAACTCACATAAAATGAATTTATAATTAGCTGTTGCTTTAAACACTGCGGCAAAATGACGCTTTGGCATCCAAAACTGATCAAATAATACCCAACTGAGAAAAAATTTGATTTCAGTACAAAAAATCGAAAAATATTTTTCTTCTGTAATATTTATTTTAATCAATCTAAAAATATTGAGAAGTTGAAAGAAAAACAAACCATGTCACAAGGATGGCTACATCATCGCTGCTATTTTGTTTTGTACAATCAGATGCAACAATTTCCAGATTTTCATTATCATCTAGACTTTCGTTGAACAAGACAACTAAATCCGTTGGTTCCGTATTGTCCATCCAATGTACCTTTCCGCAAAATGTAACGCAGATAACGCTAAGATCTGAAAAATTCTCAATAATGAGTAAACGATATTGAAAATTTTTGAGATCAGTAATTTGACTTTGGATCGAATCAACAGAATAATTATTTGAGCTTCTGCACTATAAGGCAAATGCTTACAAAGATAACGTGCTATATTGAGTAGACGAAAAGTTCCTGACTAGAACGACAAAAATGCAAAGACACTCAAATTTCAAAATTTCAATTTTTTAAAACTTGCAATTCATAAAAACTCAGAAAAAGAAAATAAAAAGTCCATTTGCTTCTAATCACCTGATAATTGATGTAAACTATATGTGTTGCAACACAGAACAGGAATAAAGCTCCTCTCCTTCCAATTCATTTTTATTGCTTCTAATCCACTTTTCTCTATTTTTTTAAATGTTCTTCCAGGTATGTAACCTGAAATCTTATTTCCTTAAGCTTTGAAATCTTTCTCATATCAGCACCAATTACAGAGAATCAAAATAGTCTTTCTTCATTACAAAACACAATTTCTGAAATACATAATGATGGAAACCATCCGGCTTCATTTGCGACAAATGTATTTAGTAAAAAAATTACCGGAAATCACTGAAAGTCTAATTTTCGTAATTAGAAGTAATCGCATGTATCGCAGAGCTATTTTTCAAAAAACTCATTGGAATACTAGGTCAATTCTGCATTCTTCAGATAAACAATTCCCCTTTTGAATTTTTTGGTATTATTTTGGATAGATGTCTTCGCAAAACCTACTTCTTCATTTACTTTCAAATTTTGTAATTCCACTTGATCGGCTTCAAGCAGAGCAATGCGTTCACCGCAATGTACAGCAACCGTTTGTGGTGCTAATTTGCGTCGTAAATACGAAGTTACAATTGGCTGATCGGTAAAGTTATCCTCGAAGCAATGACTCGATGTCGTTAACAAACGGAAAAGCTAAAAGACAGAAATGAGGAAAAGTAGAATTAAATGATTATAAGCAATCACTTGTGCTAATTTCACTTTGAATTATTTAATTATATTCTACTATCACTGTTTCGTTTTATTCCTACTTAATAAATTGTGGCTTAAATTTAAATTACAGCTATTTCACAATTTCGTCCTTACTTTTCTGATACATTTAATCTTTTCCACAACGATGTTAAAATTTTGAAAAAACAATTCTCAGGGGGGCCTAAATTTTGAAAAATTAAATTTTATGTGATCAAAGGATACCGACCTTATCTTCTCGGTAACTTCTCAAGCCGTTTAATATATCTTTAGAATTTAACTGCGTTTCGTCTCTCCGTAATTTTCGCAATTTTGTTTCTGCAAACAATTCAATAATTAAGTAATTCAAGTAATTCCTACTCTGATAGAACCTGATGAGTGATGAAGAAACTGTTTCATAGATGCTAAGCCGCCATGACTATTGATTCCTGCACAAGATTTATTAGACAAAAATCAGAACACGTCTTACCTCAGATTACCGTTATTCAATTCTGGTTCTTATATATTCTTATATAACGGATTTCAAACTCTGCTGTTTCCTTTCTACACCACATAAAACCTTGATCTCATATCAACAGTCTTCCTTTCTTACTTGCGTACAATACACAGTTAAAGTCCTCGCTTCATCTCAAAGTACAACTCCAAACTATTGCTTATTTTCATTGTTTGACCTGTAACAGGTTAAACATTGAACATAAGTTTTCTTCCCACATTTTTCAGCTCCTTTTACGGTACTAACTACGGTCCTTCTCCTACCTCATTGAATTTCTCATCATTGTTACAATGTACACCTTTCAAATCTCAGATTCGAAGTATTCAACTATGTGTAAGTCCATTTGGGAATTTAGCCAACAATCTTTATAGACTTTTCTAGATGTGCTATCCGGACAGATGGAAACTTACTTAAGGTTTGAGCCAAAACGTAACTATTTTTATTTGGTTCTTGTTTATGGAAAATTTTTTGAAGACATAGTAGCCAAATCAAATCATTTTTTCATTTTAATGCTGATCTCATTTCAAGTCATGCCAATGTGACATTTATCCCTTTTGTACCGAAATTGTAGTCGAGTAACCAAAACAGTAATACCAGAAAACCAAAACAATACTATGTAGTTAAGCAAAATTATTTTACGGCAATCACCCGGTTATGATAGTAATTGTTTTGCGCAACAGTATTCCGAACAACAATTTCAAATTTCAAGCAATCTCCAAAAAAGATTTCAGTCTGTCCTACACTGCTGCAACTTAATCAATTCATATTTCAATCCATCTTGCACTACACATACCACAAAAAGGCTATCATTTAGCTGGATGTCACTTTCACTTATTTTCCTTCATATTTCATAAACTGTATACCAATTCCTTCTTTATGTAATATATACCAGATAAGAATATACTGGAAGAATCGTTCGAATTTACCTAGAAAAATAAATTCATTTTCTTCTATTTTGTTTACAATTCCAGTAATTATTCTTACTCATTAGTATCACAAGTCCTTGTATTGCATACAATCTTTATTAAGTTGATAAAACAATCTGATTTACCCAAAGTCTTGATATAATTCTCATCAACTTCTGTTTTTGTCATTCCTTCCTATTTAAAAGTTGAGTCCACTTAGCGATTTCCAATAAGTTTCATTTCCAATCAATAACGAGTATTCGAGCAATACAAATATGACAATTCGTGCAGTTCGATCGGAACGAAAAACACTGAAATTTGACGAGTTTGATAAATCAAATGATAAAATATATTGAACTTCAAACCAAATGAAATTAATTCGTCGAAAAAATGGTTAACAATTTATTTCCCATGCATTATTTAATCCTAATTTTAATATAACAAATTTACAGATCACTTTTAAAGTTATTGAATTTCAATCCAAATAAACTTACGAAGTACTAAAACGGCATTTTTAGTGTTTCATAGACACATTCAAAGAAAAACATTTTTTTGGATATAATGTTTCCTAGAAGATCATAACTTATAGCGAGTAACTGAGAACGGAAAAAGAAAATAAGAAAAAGGGGAATAATAACGTTACCAATTATGCAACATAGTAAGGGACTGAGAAAATAAGGAGATAGCTTAGATACAAGATGAAAGGGAATGAAAACAGAGAGTATATTGTGTGGCAAAAGATAATGGGAAGATTATGATACAAGATTGCAGGATGTTACATATACTAGATTGAACTGCTTATTAATTTCATTTACTTGTCAATTTATTAATTAACAAATATTAAATCACCCCACGGGATGAAGAGTCAGAAACTCACAAAAACACCAAAATCGTTTTGCAACTGGTCTGTGCGTAAGTTGCCACTATTTATCTATCATTCACTGAATTGATTCTCTGTTTTATCCCATTCTATTTGCTATTTGTATATGGTTTGAGGTGTATAATTTTGTAGTACTGTTGCCTTTTGCGAAAATTTACGTTCAACTTTTGTTACAATCTTTCTATGTGATTATGCATTTTCTTGTACTTAAAATTTCTATCATTCGTATCTTAATTTCAACGTATTCGAGTAATAAAGTTGGAACATGCCATTGTGAGTCACTTAAAAAAAATGCTTTAACCTTGTACTTGTAAAATTTTTTTAATAAAACAAAGTGGAAAAATTTGGTAAATTAAAAAAATTTTTCTTTCTTGTCAAAATTTATGAAAACTGAAAGAAATATTTCTAACAACTTCTGTCTTTCTCCTTTCTTCAATTGGAAATAAAGCAAGTATAAGGCTACCTGTGCCTAACAAACAAAACTTCTAAAAATCCCGTTGGTTTCATAACCTACGGGCCGAGCCATATTTTAGTCAGGAGTTACACATGGCCGACACACGATTTACCGCGAGGATCTTGAGTGCTATATTGCTAGCGTGATGGTTTCTGGTAGCGGGCTTGACTTTTGTGTCCTGGGTTTTCGGGGCTACTCCGTCGCTAGTTCTATTTCGGTTACATTTCCGAAGTTAGCAAACTTTTCTGGCGACATTTGTGCACGTACACATAAGTTGATGAATTTTCGGTTAATGATGTCAATTTCTGGGACTAGTAATATTTTGATATTGATTGGTCTGGTTTGTGAACTTTGCGGTGAGTGTTCTAAAATTTGACAAAACTTTGCGACAAATTCGAATTTTTGTGTCAAGTTGTCGGAGAAGCGAACTTACAGGTCAATTAGCATGTTTGTGTGTTGTAAGTTCCTTAAAAGATGGATGGTTATTTCATAATCTGCAAATTGTTATCTAATTTCTATCAACGGAAGCTTGCCGAACAGCACTACTAAGCTTTACTTAAGTAATGGGCTTATAGCAAGTTTCGAAATTGGTTTCGTGAAATATCTCGCAGTTTTTTTACTTTCATATTACTTAAGTATTCTACCATTGTTGTATCGTGCGACCGCGTAAAGCTTTTATGGCTTATATGACACGATATGTTTATTTCAGTCCAGTTTGTCTCATCTGTCAGATTTACTTTCTGAATTCTGAAGCTCGAATAGATATAATATCGAACACGAGACATGTCAAAGCGAACGCGAAAACAGATCGAGCCAACTGCGGAAGATCTATCCAACGTTGAGTTTGAAACATCTGAAGAAGTTGATGTTGTGCATACTTTTGATAGTATGGGATTGGGCGAAGAGTTATTGCGTGGGATTTATTCATACGGTTAGTTTTTTTTCGCTTGGGAAGAGAAGGATTAATCAACGAAACGGCCGCATATTATTATTTTCAAGGATAGATTGTTCGCTAAATGAATGCTTTGGAGCATATTTTAATTTCCCTAAAGCTGTTTGTCCAGAAATTGAAGGCACATAATTCACAATTTCGCCACTTATTCATATTAATACTCGGTAATATTTCAGGATTTGAAAAGCCATCAGCAATTCAACAGCGTGCCATTAAACAAATCGTCAAGGGTCGAGACGTTATCGCACAGTAAGTTATTTTCCAATGAATTTAATGAGGAAATGCAATTTCTTGTACCATTTTTAATTTTTGGATGTTATACTAGATAGTTGGGACATTCCACTTTCTAGTCATTATCAGGCAAGTGGTGATCAAAAAAATTTTTACGGATTGCCATATTTCAGAGCGCAATCTGGTACGGGGAAGACGGCAACATTTAGTATTGCTGTATTGCAGTCGTTGGATATATCACTACGTGAAACACAAGCGCTTATCTTATCACCAACTCGAGAATTGGCTGTGCAAATACAAAAGGTATGCACAATTCTAATTCAGTTCGGGAATAATGAGGTTTTAGATTAAAATGAGATTTTGTGAAAAAAGTTTTGAGTTTTGCAGGTTGTACTTGCATTGGGTGATTATTTGAACGTACAATGCCATGCATGTATTGGAGGTACAAATGTTGGCGAGGATATTCGTAAACTTGACTACGGTCAGCATGTCGTTTCGGGAACTCCTGGACGAGTTTTTGGTGAATAATTTTGAAAATTTTGTGTAAAATCTTGATCAGTGATTTTTTCTTCATTATTTTTTGATGTTTTCGTTGAAATGGTTATCGGAGGATTTGGGATAGCTGGGAGAAATTGGTGTATGAATTAATATTTGAAAGCAAAAAAGATGAGTATTTGATTATTTTGTTCCAGATATGATCAGACGCCGCAATTTGCGTACCCGAAGCATAAAAATGCTGGTGCTTGATGAAGCTGATGAAATGCTGAACAAGGGATTCAAGGAGCAACTTTACGACATCTATCGTTACCTTCCACCTGGTGCACAAGTAGTACTTCTTTCGGCAACCCTTCCTCATGAAATTCTTGAGATGACCAGCAAATTTATGACTGATCCTATTCGTATCCTGGTAAAACGGTTAGCACTTGCAATATTTTATCCATTTAAGTTTGAAGTTTGTTAAAAAGGTTGATATTCATGCAGAAAGTTTATAGTTTTGAGACATGCTGAAAAAATGATGCATCATATCAGCATACTGTGCAAGTGTGTTTTCACGTTTTAATATCTACAAAAGTAAGGAAGCATCCTGTTTCCGTGGGTGAATTTTAATAATAAGTGGATGATACTTTATGAGTGTAAACTAATAATAAATGAAAACACATTATGAACTTTGTTGTTTTTTATTTATTTATTGGCAAAAGTAATTTTTCAGTGATGAATTGACACTGGAAGGTATCAAACAGTTCTTTGTGGCAGTTGATCGGGAAGAATGGAAATTTGACACATTGTGTGATTTGTACGATACTCTTACAATCACGCAGGCAGTGATTTTCTGTAACACTCGAAGAAAGGTTACTTTTTTAACATGACAGGAAGGGAATTTCTGACGTTTTCAAAGTGAAGCTTGCATGTGATATAACGAGAATTTAGTCGATTGACAACGTATTGAAATAATAGTATCATGAGGATGCTGATATTCGAATTCGATATTTCCGAGAAAGGGAAATTGATTAATTGAAATTTGTTCGGGAATTGGCAAGTAAGTTGCAGGTTGATTGGCTGGCTGAGAAATTGAAGGAAGCAAATTTCACAGTATCATCCATGCACGGAGAAATGGAACAAAAAGAGCGCGATGCAATTATGAAGGAATTTCGTGGTGGTGCCAGGTTAGTTTTAGCATGGAAATTAATACGGCGTTATTTTCTGATATTTGTTTTTTTTTTCTTTTTGAAAGATATTTGAAATTAAAAGGTATTAGATAATTTTCCAACTTTCAAGTTTGGTGTCTTTGAATCTAATTTCAATTTCAAGCATGAAATTTTTACAGTCGCTTATTGATTTCAACGGATGTATTTGCGCGTGGTTTGGATATACCACAAGTATCACTTGTTGTGAATTATGACCTTCCAAATAATCGCGAATTATATATTCATCGGTAAGTTTGTTGAGCAATGAAACCTTGGAATTTAAAGTCTTTCGTCCCCTAACTTCTTGAGAAACGGATAATTTTCATTATTTATAGAATTGGACGATCTGGTCGTTTCGGTCGTAAAGGTGTTGCTATTAATTTCGTGAAATCTGATGATATCCGTATTTTGCGTGATATTGAGCAATATTACGCTACACAAATTGATGAAATGCCAATGAATGGTTGGTATTTTTTTTTTAGTGTACTCTAGGAATTTTAGTTGTAACTTTCTTATTCAATTGCTCCATGCTCTATTTGCTCCATTCTCCTTCATAGTATTCAACTAATTGCTTTTGTCGTTATCAGATAATTTTCGCTGTATGCAGTACAAGATATACTCTTGTTAAGAAATAAAAATATAAAGATAAGCATTGACTCTAATAATATTCCTAGGGTGTCAGTTTACTAAGACACTTAGATGTCAAGTCATCTATACATTATACGTGCATCTAACAGAGAAACAGCATTAAAATAGTTGTCTTTGAATTCGGTAAAACTTGATTCCAAGCGTTTAGCTGCAATTTATACATTTCAGTGGCAGATCTCATCTGAAGTGCTGGATTTGCAAACGTGTTGGAAAGAAATTGAATGAAAAATTTGAACATATGTCGCACTTGTTTTACTGTTGTCTTACTCCCTCATTTAGTTTATTCTTGAAATCGTCGAGAGTGATGGAAAAAGTCATCCATACATTTGAATGTTGTGCAAAAGAGACAGCAGAACTTGAATTGTATTACCGTGTTTTTTTTTTTATATTTTCAACTAAAGTGATGTTAACGTAACTTCATAATTATTTTATTTAAAATGCATTGTTTTCATTAATTCTGTTTAAGCTATGAGATAGATCTGTTGACCGTTATCTTCTATTACTGATGGTACAGAATAATAAATCTGTGCTAGCGCAATTTGAAAGTTGATACTGGGTGAAAATGTCATAAAATAGTGAAGAAAATTGATTGGCAGGATTTGTACGAAAAGCTTCAGCTGCATTCTGTGACAAAAGTTTTGTCTTATGTAATTGGTGGCATGACTATTTCAAAACTTAATGTATTTCGTCCCCTGCGGTTCCTAAAAACAAAAGCAATTCTAGGTGTTCGGCATGCATTCCGTTAATACTAGTCCCAAGAGGACAGTTACATAATTATGTTTGGAGATTGCTACTTGTACTACTGAAAATAATTGCTTTTCACATCGAAAACGATCGTGTTACCGTATTACAAAACAGAAAAATTCAGTGTGGGCTATATTTTTTAAATTTATTATATATTCAGAACTGGAGCCATCCAGTAAAGCTGTCATTGATGACTATCAGGTGAATTTATGAAATATATGGTACACGAAGATTGATTCTATAGTGTTCCGGAATTTCCCGGGACAATTTGCTGTGGTATTTTTTCGCCTATCATTCCTTCAGTATGTTCGACTGTTCTCAATAGATAATACCACCAATATACAAGCTGAAATTAGTAAAGTTTCAATTTATTTTTTCAATAATTAACTTTGCAAACAAATTTACCACCTATGATTGATTAATGGTCTTAGCTGAATGAAAAGAGAAAAATGATTGATATTCCTTAATCCATTCCTTAATAATATTTCTGAAATCACTTCATGTGAGCTCTAAGGAAAGATGCATAACATATTAATAAAACGCGTGATATATCATTCATCTTATTAGCGCTTATAAAAATGAAGAAAATTAAAAACTAACATTGAAAATAGTGAATGCAACCGGGAAACATATAAGTGATAATTTATCAATCGTTTCTGGTTTAATACTAATTATCAATAAACTTCGTGTACCAGAATATTGATTAGAAGTATAGGTTACCTGTCAAAATGAATGGAAATAGCAAATCAATTTTTTAATATAAAAAAAAATAAATAAATTCTCATAATTTGTATTATTTTATAAAAATCAATAATTCTCATATTTAATCACAATATATAATTCCTCGGATTGTTTTCTAAAGAAATTCCATATTGATGAATTTTTATTCAAAAAATAAATCAATAAATAATTGTTAAATTTAATACTGAAATATTTATTATAAAATTCAACTAACTTCTTCTAATGCCAATACTCTTTCGGTAGTTGGTGATGTGATAATATCAAAATTTCCAGATTCTGAAATATGCTTACAATGGGCTAAATTTTGCATAATTAACGTTGGTGATGGTGATTTTCGAAAGATTTGCTTTGAGATCGTCCTCATTTTAGGCTTTCCATGTTGTTTTGATAATGGATATAATGGATAAGCTGAAAAGAGAGAAAGAGAAGGAAAGCGGATAAATTTAATTTTCGTAGTAATTAAATAAAAATGAAGTAAATTCAGCAGAAAAAAAGAAATCGAAGAATTTCGAAAAAGTAAACAATCAAAAAAGTAATTGAGAAAAGATTTATTTACTTTTTCTTTATTTTCTTCATGTAAGCAATTGGAAATAAATTTTAATTAAATTTAATTAAAATTATATTATCAGTGCTTTTATTCTTAACATTTATTATGATATTTTTTTTCAACTATTTTTGATTAAATATATTATTAATTAAATGTATTATCGGTTAATTATTTTATTGATTAAATATATTTTTGATTAAATATATTATTAATTAAATATACTATCGATTAAATGCATTATTGATAAAATATATTTTTGATTAAATATATTATTAATTAAATATACTATTGATTAAATATGTTATTGAATAAACATATTTTTGATTAAATATATTATTAGTTAAGCATTTTATTGATTAAATATAATTTTGATTATAAATATATTTTTGATTAAATATATTATTAATTAAATATATTATTAGTTAAACATTTCATTGATTAAATATATTTTTGATTAAATATATTATTAGTTAAACATTTTATTGATTGAATATATTTTTGATTAAATATATTATTAATAAAATATATTATTGGTTAAATATTTTCTTGATTAATTATATTTTTGATTAAATATATTTATTGATTAAATAATAATTCAAAAAAAAATATCATAATGAAAATTAGCAAAAGAACGAAAGAAAAAATTTCTCCTATATTTTGTTTTAAAAAATTAAAACGAAAATAATAAAGAAGACGTAGTTAATTAACCTGGTCAACAACCTTTACACACCAAATATTAATTACTTACTTTGGGGTGAATAATTATCACGATGATATATACCACCATTAAGATTTGGTGATGATGATCGAAAGAATAAATGTTGTGATTGATCAAATCGTCGTTTTCGACGTCCACGTCGTTTTCGTGTTATTTTTTTCTTCAAATTTCCACCAAAACAACGTGTTATCAGGCATACAACAGCTAATTCAACTATTGTACAAAAAACAAAACTTATACTACCTGAAAATAATTGCAATAATAATTAGCAATTAAATGATTTACTAATTTTTTTGTTTTTCTTCCAAATTTATTCAAATTTCATTGAAATTTTTTTTTTTCAAATTTATCCTAATTAAATTTATCCTAAAAATAAATTAATCCTAATTAAATTTATCCTAAAAATAATTTCATATGAGAAGCAAAATTTAATGATTAAAATTGATTTAGGGATAATAAAATTTAAATAATAAATTAAAATCACTTCCAATTTTTTCATTTGATAAAAATATTTTTTATTTATCAATTTCTTTTATGAGAACAAAAGATAATTAAATTTTCTTTTTGCTTTGTTTCTTTGTTTTAAAATTTAATTCTAAAAAAAAATATTTCACTAACCAAGCATCCATACATCCATAGCTTTAATATATGAAACACGTGGAAGATTTTTGAGAATATTACCAAATTGAAATGTAAGTGCAAGAAGTGATGATACACCAACTGTTGTACGAGCTGGTAATGCTTTAGGTTCCATGCAAAAGCTAACCCAACTAACAACAATTGTTAAATAAGTTGGTATATATGCTTGTAGGATATAAAATCCATAGCGTCGTTTAAAAGTAAAAGTAACCTAAAAATGTTTATTAATTAATTAATAAAAATTAACGATGTTGAAAAAGTTGAACGAAATATTAAATTAGTAATTAAGTTTTAATTATGTCAATTTTTCAATTACAATTTAATAATATTATATTAAGCATATGCTCTCGTAATATTGTAAAAATTGTTAGGAATTAAAAAGATGAAATTTGAAAAAAGAAACGAACTGATGAATACCAATTATATGATATGATATGAAATTGATATAATTATTTAATTATCTAATTATTTAATAATTGAATTAAAATTTCACTCAAATAAAAAGGAAGAATAAAGATAGATAGAATGGAATGATATTTATACTAATCATAAAAGATGATATTAATCTTTATCACTTTCATTCTTTATTTACAAAAATGTTACCTGAAGTCGATCCCAATAACCATTTGGATAAAGTATTGTTTCATTATTTAACCTATAACAAACTAAATCGAAATCCGGTAATTGAACCGGTTTCATTAACGTAATCGCATTATCCATCCATCGTAATGTTACTTCATCGTTGTTATGTGAATATGATTCAAATATTAATGTACTAAAAGAGTTAAACTTAATAAATAAATAAGTAAATTAATTAATTAATTAATTAATAAAATAAAGCCATTTTATTCATTTAAATTGCATAAAAAATATTTGAAAAGTGTAGAAAAAAGTAGAAAAAATGAATTTTTGTTTCTTTTTCTATTTAAAATTTTGAAATTAAACTGTTGAATTTTTTATAATGTTGAAAAATTTCAGGTATATATTTGATAAATATGATAAAATTTCGTTTAATTTTATCATTTCATATTTTTCGATGATTCAATAGGGAAAAAGAATTTATCTAAAAATTGCTGATTACCAAGATTGAGTATCAAAGGGGAATATTCTTAAGTCTAGATCACAAGGCGCCTTCACAGACATTCGATAGTTAACCCATATAGTACCATTCTGAAAATTTAACAGTTTAAAGGTTAAATTTTGAAGCCATTTCGTTTCCTAAAAATATTTTGTTAATTATTTTCCATTATTATTTTAAATTTTCTATCAATATATTTTTCTAAAATTCAAGCCTATCATAATAAAACATTCCCATTCCTTTTTGTTTTAAAATTTAAATTAATTTAAATTTTACGAATATTTTGTTTTTGCGTTTTTTATTTTAATTCAGACATTTTATGTTTGAATTCAAAATTTTTCATTTTTCATAAAAAAAATTGCCGCAAATTATTGGCAAAATAATCAATATACTTTGTAATTAATATAATATTTTGCAAAATAATTATAATTAATACACTTTGTAATTAACATAATAATTTGCAAAATATTATATTAATTATATAAAATATTATATTAATTATTTTGCAAAATAATTAATGGACAATATTTTCAATTTTAAAAATCATTAATCTCGCATTTTTTGGAAATTTCAAATTGTTTTTGTTTTATAATTTAATGGATATAAAATAGAGCTAAACAATTACCAATTAAAAATTAATGAAATTTATTATTTGCCGCTATGGAAAAGCAAAAATGAATTCGCATAACTTTTTTGAATTCAATTATTTTCCACTTCTCTCTCTCTCTCTCTCTTTTTTGAAATATATTAGTAATATTTAAATTGGAATGAGTGATAATTGAAATTTAATAATTATCTTCAATAGAAATCATAAGATTTTATTAATTTCAATAATATATGATAAGTATATTACAGTGAAAATAAATTTCACTAACATAATCATTGCCTTTATAAAATAATATAATATTATTGATTAACAAATAAAATAGAAATTTTATTAAAATTTATTTTAGTGATGAAATATATTCGAATACATTTGTAAGAATTCACATTTTTCATTTGTGATTTTTTGTATTTCAAAAGTTTTCTGAATTTTAAAAAATTTGAAAACTAATTTTTTGGTAATAAAAATTGGAGAAGTGAGAAAAGGTCTCTTATCAAATTTTACCTCTTCCTGGAAATTTGTTAATTTTATTAAATTGAAACATTTAATGGAGGACAAAGACTAAATTAAAATATATTTCGATAATTAATTTGAATGAAATAATAAATTAGGATCGTATCGGATTAAGCTAGTATAGAGAGATTAGGCTGAATCTAAATCATCGATTATCCTAAATTAATTATTAGTCACTACTTAAATATATATAAAGGAATTATTCCTTTAAAGTGATTTCATTTCTTATTTAATTTTCAAATTTATCATCACGTGGTGATATTTATCAACACCTAACGATATCATTACTAAAGCCATAACATGACCGTTTCTTTCAATTTCATTGGACAGCTTATCCAAATAATTACATTTACAATAATAGCGCATAATATTTTCCTTATAAATATATTTTATGAAAATTTATATTACAGATCATATTGAGTTTAATTTTCTTACAAATTTTATTATATGAAAATAAACTTACTTCATATAATATAACCATAATATTATCGGTAGGTGAAGTATGTATTATTGTTCGTTTTGCATTAATTATACATGTATTTGGTGTCCAAATATTTGATAAAAATCTGCTTGGATTAATTTACATATTTTAATTACTAATTAAACTCAATTAATTTTCATATTTTAATTATTTTAAATTCAAAAAATAAATTTACTACTTGAAAATATTAGTCATCAAGACATCATTTTTTCCTTTTATAAATTCAAGCAAATTCTTCAGAATGATATTAATTATTGATAATTAATTCCATAAAACTTTAATTAAATTACAAAAAGAAAAGTGGAATTAGGATTTAAAAAATTAAAACAGATAATACTATCTTTCTTTTGTTCTTTTTTAATTGTAGCCTAATATTATATCATAAATTGTGATAACAATTTTATAGTATTTTTTTTTAATTGCTTTAATTTAGTTAACTTACTTGGAATCCATTGTTATATCTCGTTTACAAGCTTTATAATTAGCAAAACTTAATGATTGATCATTCCATAATTGAGTGTATAAAATATCAACATTAAAATCAGCCGTAATTTCATTTAATGTTGAGATATCCTGAAAATTTCCTCTAAACTTTCCGTTTTGCTTTTTCCATTCACCGATAAACTTTTAATGTTTAATTTTATTATCATAATTACATTATTACTATCAAAAATTTGCATCATAAACATGCACATGAATTGTGTGCAGCATGCAGCAAATGGTAGTGCATGCAATATGCAATTCAACTTTTTTCTAATAGCAAAAAAGCAAAGATGATAAATATTTTTTGAGAAAAATAAAACAAAAATTTATCAAATAAATTATGAAATGTTAAGCGAATTTCCTTCCTATGAATTTTGATGATAAGTATGATTGATTTATATAATGTCGTAAAGAAGTTGTGGAAAATGATAAGTTGTTTTGCTATAATAATAAATAATAGTTTAAAATATCACGAATAATAATTGTTATTTCTGTTGAATGTTTTGATTGGAATAGATTAGAAATCATGATTATGAAATAAATAATAATTATATTTATTCTAACTATACCTGAATATGAATTTCAACGTCTACTTGTACAGCATCTTCAATTTCAGGCAATATTTTGGTATAATTTTTCATCAATGCTTGAATGATAGCATCGTCTTTCCAAAATCCATCTGGACATTTTCTTCGTCGAGCACTTGCCTGAAACAAAAACTTAAATAGTTTTGTTTTTTTTTTTTAAATTAAAATCTATTGTTAAAAAAGATAAAATAATTAATCATTTAGGATTAATTAATAGCTGCCAGCAATTTTAGCACTTAATTTAGCACTAATTGATAGTTAATTTTGAATTTCTTTTTTAAATTAATAAAAAGTACCATTGATTAATTTTCATTGTTTAAGTATCTAAATGAAAAAATATTAGTTAATAGATTTAAATTTACTTTGTTAAGCAGAATAGCAATGACAATAATTGTACTCAATAAAGATGATAGCATTGATTTGTACGCCGATATATTCCAATTGATCAAATACACTTGATAAATGGATATAATTCAATTCTTAAATTTTGCATGCATTATTAACTTACCTTTATAAATATAACTATGAAACGTTTAAAGTTCATCCTTTTGTTAAAATTTTAAAATCAATACAGAAAAGAAAGAAAAGGATTTTCAAATGTAATTTTAGTATTTATAGCGAAATGGATAAAACGAACGTGAATATATTCACAATACGTGCAAAATTATTAAATGAAGATATTTCAAATTTTGAAAATAAGAGAATGCAAAGTACTGTAATCATATATTTGATAATATTGTTTTCAATTCAAATAGTTTAAAATTATAAAAATTCAAGTAGGGAAAAAAGCTCTTCGTTTTTTTTCAATTCCTCTTAATCGAAATCATTAAATAAATTGTGAAGCAAAGAGTGGAAATTAATTTCAAAAGCATTCCAAATAAAAGCAATCGTAAAAAGGAAAAAAAATACGAATGAAATGGATGTCAACAATTAAGGGAATTTTAGAATGGAGAAATAGAATCATTTAAATAAAACAAAATGATTTTCGTCGTTGTAAATTAGCAATAAAGCGAACGTTATTTCATTTAAACGATAAAGTGTTTAAAGATGACAATATTGATTGATTTATTGTTATATCATTATTATTACAGTTATAAATATTACAGTTACAAATATTATTATTTTTAAAATTATTATTGTTATAATTATTATTATTGTTGTTGCTGTTGTTGTTGTTATTGCCGCTGTCGTTGTTATTGTTGTTGTTGTTGTTGCTGTTGTTGTTGTTGTTGTTGTTATTGCCGCTGTCGTTGTTATTGTTGTTGTTGTTGTTGTTGCTGTTGTTGTCGTCGTTCTTTATTGTTGAAGCCAAAGCAAAATTATATTCGCAAGAAGAATTAAATATTGTTGTCTTTTATTATTTGAAATAAAGAATATTGAATACTTGTTATAATATTTAATACCTTCCAGTTAAGTGAAATGGTTCTTCATATCTAAAGTCTATAATAATCAAAATTCGAGCGACGAAGAAATTTTTGATTGAAATCATAAATTGCTTTAACAGTAACAAATATTTAAGCTTTAAAAGTTTTTTTTAATTTATTATTGACAGTTATATGAAAAAGAGAAGTCAAAACTATCTTTTTTAAAGGTTTGTTTATAATTTGAATTTGAATATTCTTTGTTTTTTCATTTCTAAATTAATTAATCTAATTTTTAATCGAAGCAAAAAAAGATCTGAACAAATTATATTTTTTATTAAAAGGAAATTCTGAATCTTTTCTTTTGTTGCACTGTAGAATTGAATGAAAGAATTAATTAATTAATTATTGTTTGCAAAAAATTGATTAATTTTAAAATTAAAACAACAAATAATAATTTGGAAAAAGCAAATTTAAAAAGTTCAAAAAAATTTTAATTTAAATTTTATAATTGAAATTTTTTACGATATAATGAAGTAAAATTGACGAAAATTCTCGATGCATTTTCGTATATGAAATATCGAGAAAAAGTCAATCTTTTCAGCTAATTAATTAGAAAAGTTAAAGCAAAAAGAAAAAGCGAACAACTGATGAAATAATGTTTAAAATTTCAAAGGTCAATATTTCAAAGATTTTAATTCGTCCAGAATTTTAATTCTTAAATATTTTATAGTATATAATCTTATCGGTTCTTTTTATTGATATATAAAATTTGTTTGAAAAATGATAAAACCATTATATTATTTTTCCTTTCTGAAACAATAGTCTACGCTAATCATTATTATAATTTTAGTATCTATAAGTGATTTGAAAGTAGTCATGTTTCAAAGTTGGAAACAATCAATGAAAAATCATCGATGAAATTTTAATAAATATTAATTGATGAAATATATGGAATAAACTTTAATGATGTTGAGGTTTATTCTATATATTCTATAAGTTATTCTATACATTACATTTTATAAGATATTGAGATTTAATCTATATATTCTATTATATATTCTATAAGTTATTCTATAAGCTATATATATTCTATATATTCTATAAGTTCAATTTTTCCCGTAAACCTATTTAATGATATAGTTAACGAGTAAATAGCTACTTTATAATGTATCATTTAAATAGTAATAGAAAGATATTTATTATGAAATGAATTTGTGACACCTTAAATCTTATAAATTTGTATTTAAGGTTTTTAAAAAAAATTTTTTATGCTAATATTAGCTATTCTTTTTAACTCTATTAAAATTTTTAATGTAATTTATGAAATATATATTATAATGAAATATGGAAATTGCTAATGGAGAAGTGAAAGTGAATATTATTGATGTTATATTGATATGACGTTATACTAATATAATGATTAAATTATTCTAATTAGCAAACTTGTTAATTGTATCAATAATTTGTTGAAAATTGTTTAAGCAAAAAATTTCGGTAATATCCGTTTATTGCAACAATTCTAAATTAATTGCTACACTATCCTAGGCATATATTAAATAAAGATTTTTAAAATAAATGTAATAAATAAAGATTTCAAAAAAAACTTTGTTTAATATGTTAGATAGAAACTTAAGTACATATAGTAAGCATTAATTATCAATTAATTTGATAGCATTTTCTAAAAAATAGCAGGTATAAAAATAGCAGGTTAATATAATAATAATAATAACAATAATAACAATAATAATAATATTATAATAATAATAACAATAATAATAATAATAATAAATAATAATAAATATACATAAATTATTATAATAAAACGTTATTGCTATACACAATAGTGCAAGAAATTCGCTAATATTATTATAATCTTTTTTTAGCACAAATAAAATTTCAATAGAATAATTTTAAACTATTATTTAATAATTAAATTTTAGAGAAAAACAAAGAGACAAAAGTTTGCGACGAATAAAAGAATAATTTAATGGGTTGAATTTTAGGATACTCTCTTATCCATTGAATGCATTTCTCCATAAATAAATCAGTTAACAAAGAGGAAAAAATTTTGCGACAAATAAAAAAGAGTAATTTAATGGGGTAATAGGGTAAAAGTAAAAAAAAGAGTAATTTAATTTAATAATTAATAATTAATTAATTTAATTAAATAATTTAATAATACTATATTATGCTTAGAAAAGAAAAAAATGAATGCTATCACTGCAAAAAATAGTTGAAAATCGAAAAGTTTGTTCGAAAAGAAAATTGCTTTCTTGAAAAACAAAAGAAAAATTAAAAGAATGAAGTTTCTTCGTTGATTAATAGAAGATTTTCAATGCATGTCGAATAATTATTGTTTTTAAAAAATGTAAAACAAAAAAAAAAGAGAACAATTTTATTTTTTACATTTCTTTTTGTTTCATTTTATTCTTTTAAATTATTATTATTTTCTTTGATTATATAAATTTTATTTTTTTATTTTTAGGATTAATAAATAATAATGAATGCTAAATGATAGCAATATTGATTTTTTATTTTTTTTTTCAATCGATTATTTATTATATCATATAAATAATTTGAATAAAATGCATTTTAATGATAGAAAAAAAATAATTTGTAATATTAATAATAATACTAATGATAGTAATAATAATAATAACAATAATGATAATAATAATAATATTAATAATTGTAATATTTCTTTTCTTTTTATTTTTTTTCCCCGATTATTAATTATATCATACAAATAATTGAATAAAATGCATTTTAATGATGGGAAAAAATGTTTGTAATTATAATAATAATAATAATAATAACAATAATGATGATGATAATAATAATATTGATAATAATAGTATTAGCGCATTTTAATGATGAAAAATGATTGTTATAACAATAATACTAATGAGAGTAATAATAATAATAATAATAATACTAATAACAATGATAATAAAAATAATATTAATAATAGTAATAACTGAAATCAAAAATGAAATATAAAAATCATTTATGAAATATGCAAATGAAAAGAAGAATAAAAAAATTGTCATTGAATATTTAAAATTTAATAGAATATTTAAATAACTGAAAAGATTGTTAGTGTGCTAATTGTTAGATTTATAAATTAATTAACCGCAATATTAATTATGCATATTTTTAGTATTATTGACAAAAACTATATTATTAACAAATAATTTTTAGCCTAAATTGTAATCAATTTATGAAAAATAAAATAAATCTTTAGAATTTAAACAATAAACAATTAAGCATATTATAAACAATAATGATATCAATCGCAACCAAACATTTTTAACACACATAAAAGCAAATCCCATTTGATTTATATTTTTTTTCAATCATTGCAGCATAAAAGAGAGAGAGAGAGAGAGAGAGAGAAAGAGAGAAAAGAGAGAATTAATAAATGAAAAATGATTGGATGGAAGAAAAGGAAGGCTGTTTCTCTTTTTCAGGAAATGCCTCATTGTATTTGTTTGCTTCGTTTTTCTTTGGTAGTCCTTTAATAAATTATGCCTTAAATGATATGACCTAAAATGTTTTTCTTTTTTTTTTTTTAAACAAACAAAAACAGAAATGGCCTAAATATAAATATTGCGAAATAATTACTTTAAAATTTATCCTAAAATTTCAAAATTAATTTGTTATTTTGAAATTGTTGAAATAATATAATAATTTTAACAAATTGTCTATTCTTTCCATTCTTACTGTTTTATTTTTCGATACTGTAAATAAGTATCATTTTAAAATAAACCTTGAAAGATGTTATTTCCGGATAAAAGGAGTGAAACCTGATATTATTCCGATTGTAAATAATTATCTAATCTATTAAAAATACTATTAAAAAATCTATTAAAATATACTATTAAAAATTACTATTAATACTATTAAAAAATTACATTTTTCTTAGCTTCGTTTTGCATAACTTATGCATATAGTTTAAATTATTAGAATAGAATTATTTTGCAGTAGAAAAATTGCTCAATTATTAATAGTAAAATAAAGGAAACTTTAAAAAAGTCAAAATGAGAAAATTT